GGTGGCACGTGGCGGTGGCCGAGCGTGCCGGCAGGCTGGGCACAGTCCATATTGTCGGAGCCCTCTGGCCTTGCTGTTGCTGCCGGCTGAGGACGCCAGGCGAGAGGGAGCAGGGATGCTGCGTGTGCTGGTGGCCCAGCACAGGGCTGCTGCCAATGGCACTTCCCCCTCCTTGCAGGTGTTCCTGGAGAACGTGCAGCACGAGGATGCCTTCGTCTACCTCTCGGCCATTCAAGGTGAGCGATGCCCAGCTGAGGCGAGTGCCGGCACTTCCTGGGAGAAGGATTTAGTGCTGGAGACGCTTTGGGCAGTGAGGGTGAAGAGCAGCAGAGCTGTAGCCGAACTGGGGGCTCAGCATCTCCTGCCCTCCCGTTGTCAGGAGCCTAGAGCCGCGTGCAGGCTTTGTGCCGTGGTTCCATGAGTACCTTCTCGATGGATCCCTGGGCAGGCTTACCCTCGGGGCAGGAGGACGGCCGGGAGCCTGGCACCATCCCAGCCGGGAGCCTGTTACCATCCCTGTGCTGGGTCTTTGCTGCCGTCCTGGGGCTGCAGCTTCAGCGTGATGTGGGCGCAGCTCCGGCACCCGTCTGGCATCTTGGCTTGCAGGTCTGTGTGGCCGAGGCTGGCAGAGGAGCTGGGGCCGTGGGTGCTCCGTTGGGGCTCTACGACATCCATCCCCATGGCCAAGGCGGTTACCATCAACCGGTGCTGGTCGGCTACGTGGATGTGGAACCACAGAAGCATTTTTCGTGTTGGTTCCCTGATCCATTGTATCTCATGCCCTCACGGATTGTGGCCCCGTGCACACACCGGGCCCTGGCCCTGCGGGCAGGACACGGGGAGCAGCAGGCAGCAGGCAGGCAAGGAGCAGCGTGCTGCTCCGCTCGCTCCTGGCTGCCCTCCTCCCCGCCCTGGGCTGCTGCTGGGGGCACCAAGTGCCACCACCACTCACACCGCTTCCCGGGAAACCCTTGGGTCTGTGCTTGCTCTGGCACGCTCAGTGCAGCCCCGTGGCACCGTGTCGGGATTTGCAGGCAGGTGCCTTCGCACCCAGGACAATGCGGATGCGGGGTTACTTGGAAGGGAGGTGCTGTCCCCATGACCCGAAGTGATACCGGTGCTGCCATGGGATAGGTAACCTGCAGCAGCAGCTGGAAAAGGAGCTTATCGATGTGCTTCCCCTCTGCCTGCACAGTCTTGAGTGGGATGGGTTTGTCCTTGCCCCACAGGTGAAACACAAACGCTTCAACCGTCCCGGGGTGATTAATGCACCCTGTGCAGCTGCCTCCGTGTTTCGCAGCCCGGCTGCGGCTGTGATTAACCCTGACGCGGTTCCTTGCGGCTGTGACTC